ACCACATTTTGGTAGATAGTTTGATCACTAAAACTTGCTACACATATATAGCCTCTTAGGTCTTTCCAGGGCACAAGTTACCTGACAGATCTTTCCAGGGCACAGGTTGCCAGACCTGAATCCCTTAACACACCTGTAGCCGCTCAAATGGAACTTTTCTGTTCCCCAGGGGATGACTACTATCAAAGCTGTAATTGTGCATAAATCTACCCATTACACGGAGAGCATCTGAACCATTAGGCTTTAGCCCAACAGAAGCAGAAGGCTGCAAAAGTCAGCCACTAAAAGAATCTTAAGCCATACAGGCAACTGATACAAGGCATGTGACGGGTGGGAGCCTAGTAGCACCAGACCCATTAGCTGGCCTAAGTTCAACCTTAACTTCCAAGTAAGGCTGGACAGTATGAAGCAACATCAAGCTTGGCATTTGCAGAGAATCAGAGAAGTCTGCCTGAGCAGCAGATGAGGAGTCAGTGAAGTCAGAATGTGGTAGATCTGAGGAATCCATATCTGCAGCAGGCATAGGGACAGTATTGTCAGGCCGGGCAGCGGGAAAGGAGTTAGTGAAGTCAGGATAAGCAGGTACAAGAAAGATATAGTTTTGATTACCTTGGCAACACCTATCAAGTGAGTAGGCCTTGCAATTATCACAACAGTAAGTCATGGATACCTTCATTTTGTTTCACAATTTTGGTTTGGCAAGTACAAGGCTTCAAAAGCAGATGAAGTGCATGATCTCTAGAGGGGGGCCAGAGTGCAAAGAACTGCTGCCTGGAGCAGCTGGCATAGGAAAAGGCTGAACAGCTGACTCAGGAAAAAGGTTGTGCTGGAACAGTTGGCACAGGGACAGTCTGACCTGGATTGCCTGGCACAGATCTAAGCATTCCAGGAACAGACTAAACACAAACTGTTGGCACAGGAGCAGGCTGACCAAAGGCCAGAGTTCTCAGGCTGGTCTGAATTAGGGTGGTAAGTGGTCTGGTCGAAGGCTGCCAATGACAAAGGCAGGATGAAAGCTGGTGGATACACACACTTATCTGTGGCTGGTTTGGTAGCATGCAGGTCTGGATTGGGAGCAAGGTCCGACTGGACTGGGACAGAAGCTGACACAGGATCTAGTATTATGGTAGCTGAGCTGTGATAAAAAGCGTGGGTAAGAATAAACCTTCACTTATTTTCCTGTTTGGTCACAGAACTCTGGTAATTGTAAAGCAACTAACAGCTTGTTAAGTTGGTGGGAGAGTGGGAAGCTGAGAATGGATAATGGCGGTAGGATAGTGTGTGGACTGGAACAGAAGGATGTGGAGTAGGGTACTGATAGGTATTTGGGAGTAGGATGTACTGAGTTACAGCTGGTGGAAAAATTAAATCTAGAATCATAGATGGAATAATGAAAATTTTGCCTGACAAGTCAGACCAGGCTCAGAGTAGACCAAAACTTAAATTATAATTCTCCGTCTTACAAGTCACATTAGAACACTCTAACGGGGCCCCACGAAAATATGCTGGATAATGTGTGAAAATAGAGTTCATCATCCTCCAGTAACCACACCAAAGACACAACCTTAGACACACTGAAAGGAGGTGAACATTTGTCATCAACTGGCTTCATTCACTAGGGCACCCAGTCCCATACAGGGTGAAAAGCCGTTCATTTAGTTTGCTGAACTGTACTGAACTTAGGACAATAAACGCCCAGAGATGAATGCCAAGAATGCAGACTGCTTGCGTTTTGGGCATTCGTCCATGGACACATACATTAGTAAAGCCAGTCATACATGGATCAAATTCCAAAATTATTTTCTTTAAAAAAAAATTTCTAAGAATTTTTGTTAGAATTTCGCATCATTAGTGGGCCACAGCAACAGCCGATTTTCGTGTGACCATTGAATTTGAATGAATGGACATGTTGGAAATTTTTGGAAAAACAAATTCATTTTGAATCAATGATGGGAGAATTGTGCAAGAAAAAAATGAAAAAGAAATGAGCATGAGCTGTGACCTAGAAAGAAAAGAAAATTCTTGGCCACAAAAATTCTTTTTTTGTAGCAACACAAGGTGAAATTAAAAGCTTGATTGGCTGAATTTCGAAATCAATGGTGGCACCTTCGAATTACAAAACACACGTAATTTTGATTGAAATTTGACCCATGTATGGCCTGCATTAAACTCCAGCCCCATCCAGCCACAACGACTTTCAAACTCTCATGCACCTAAAAGCTGGAGTCTCGTGCCCTGGGGCTAAATGTCCTGTGTGTATGAGGCCTTCAAGTTACCAGAGAAAGCCAGCTCGGAATAGAGTTGAAACAGTGGCTGAATCTCGGAAAATGAAAAGCTGGCCTGATTAAGGAACTAAGAATGTAGCAAACGTACCCCCATGTACTCCTGCGCTGAACTGTGGACTCCCCGCTATTGTGATCCCCACATGGGAAAAGAAATGCAGGCTTTGCTGCCCTCACCGGACCAGGGATATCCAAAAGAAACTGTATATGAAAGACAAAAAAGAGGGCACACAGGCCTAGTGCATTACCTTAAAAATAGGATTTATTGATAAAAAGTAAATACTCACAAAATTAAAATGATGTAAAATCAGATAAATGCAGGAAGCATGTCACACAAGATATGCAGTATGGTACAGGAACCCCTGTGGGTGGTCTGGTGGGAGACTGGAAGCCTCTGGATAGCTGGTGGCTGATGCATTTCGAGGAAACACCTCTTCTTCAGAGCCAATGTCTGATTTTACATTTTAATTTTGTGAGTATTTACTTTTTATCAATAAATCCTATTTTTAAGGTAATGCACTAGGCTTGTGCGCCCTCTTTTTTGTCTTTCATATACAATGATTAAGGAACTGATCATATAATAAGCCTGCCAGAAGTCACTGGGTGAAGGGAGTTGTAGTGCCATTGTTACTTGTTATTGACTGTGTACTAGCCTTTTCCACATATTACAGCTATCCACTATGCTGTTTTATCTGAGATGATAGTACTGATATTTTCATTTTTGCATGTGCAACCTGCTCGTTGCCCACACCACTTGTTGTTTTGGACCCTGAAGGCTCTGATTATTCCTGTAGGGTTTTAAAAATTGTAACTAAAGAATAAAAAACAAAGGGGCTGATAAAAAACAAAGGGGCTGAGCCACACAAATATATTCATTAATCAAATCCTGCAATATCTGGTGGCAATATTTTTTCTGATTCTAGCAGAACATAATATACAGTAGTTCATCATCTGGATGCATCTTGAAACAACAGTAAAGTAAGTGTACACAATCAACTCAAATTCTCTTGTGCAGCCAATCTGGCCATTTTTTACCTCCACCTTATATTAGAACACCTTGTGCTGGTATCCTGTAGAGCAGGTATGACCAGATATATGAGGCGACATAGAGAGCATAGACATATGGCGCAAAAAAAATAAAACCGCACAGGTGATCAAATACCACCAAAAGAAAGCTCTATTTGTGGGAAAAAAGGAAATCAATTTCATTAATGTACAGTGTTGCATGACCACGCAATTGTCTGTTAAAGTAACACAGCGCCGTATCGCAAAAAATGGTCTGGTCAGGAAGGGGGGTAAATCCTCTGGAGGGAAAGTGGTTAAGGCATTATTCTGAATGGAAAAGTGAAAGTGTGCTGAGAAAACAAAAGCCTAATTTTGCTTTTATTTTAATAAAGTGACAATAAACTCTGGTTTAAAAAAAGCTATTCAAGCATGTACTCTAAACTCAAAAAAGTACCTTCTATTGCTCCCAGCCTCCTTCAAATCTGCAATTTTTTTTTTTTTTTTGCTGCTGTGATTCAACTTTCAGTTAGAGGGAGGCTACATTCATTCTCCATGGTCCCATTTTAGGTAGGAACGTCAGTCTCTTGCTTGCTTCTGAGATGGACTAGGCATTACAGCCTATGGGAATTGTAGAAATGTGTAGAGCAATGCACATGGCCACAACCAGGGGCGGACTGACCATTTGGAAACTCCCGAAGGCCCGAAGGCCCGGGGTCAGTAGGGGGCCCCATGAGATGCCCCTGGTACCTTTTTCATAGGCTTTTTTGAGCTTGGGAAGGACATAGGGGCCCCATGATCCCCTATTGCCCAGGGGCCTCATGAGTTGTCAGTCCGCCCCTGGCCACAACTACTGTGCACCACTCATTTCATACAAACAGAAATGAGGGTTAAAAGGAGAGATTAGGGAGCTTACAGAGGATGTTACAAGGAAACAGAAAAATACAGTAAAAAATTATTTCAAGAAAAATAGATTACAGGGCCATTAAGTAGTGGATGTGTGTGGATTATTTTTAAAGAATAAGGATTTAGTGTCACTCTAAGGACAAGGATAATATGATCCTATAATAGGCAAATTTTACCTACTAAAAAACAACTTTCTGACTGTTTCTGTTACATTATTTTTGTCTTTCATAAAAGTTACAGTAAATTGTCATGCGCCTATTACTCTGATTTCTTAAAAATCACATCTATTCTTAGTTACTTCCTCAACTCTTTTGAAGGGAAACACCCTTATTTTATGAATACTGGCATTTTTTTTTTATTAATTTATCATATTACTTTGCATACATGATTCAACAGATGTGTCTTGCTTTGTGAAATCCAGTGTGTCATTGACATTGTTGAAAACAAAAGTTCTAAGCTATATGGGCAAATTTATCTCTTTCTACTAAAAGAACTGAAGATGAACTCGAGGCAGATATAAAAGACATAAATTAACGCAGCTCTGTATTCATTAACCACTAGCCTACAGGGCACTTATACCCCCTTCCTGCCCAGGCCAATTTCCAGCTTTCAGCGCTGTCACAATTTGAATGACAATTGCGCGGTCATTCAACACTGTACTCATATGAAATTTTTATAATTTTTTTGAGACAGATAGAGCTTTCTTTTGGTGGTATTTAATCTCCTCTGGGTTTTTTTTTTTTTTTTACTAAACAAATCAAAATCAACTGAGAACTAAAAAGAAAAAAAAAATGTTTTTCTTAGTTTCTGTTATAATATGTTGTAAATAAGTGATTTTTCTCCTTCACTGATGTGCGCTAATGAGGCTGCAGTGATGGGCACTGATAGGCTGCACTGATGGGCACTGATAGGCAGCAGTGATGGGCACTGATTAGGATGCACTGGTAGGTAGCACTGATGGGCATTGACAGGAATCACTGATGGGCACTGAAAGGCAGCACTCATATATGGCACTGATAGGTGGCACTGACTGGCACTGTTAGGTGGCACTGACTGGCACGGTTAGGTGGCACTGATAGGTGGCACTGATAAGTGGCACTGACTGGCACTGATAGGTGGCACTGACTGGCACTGATAGGTGGCACTGAAAGGCAGCTCAGATGGGCACTGATATCTGGCATTGATGTGCACTGGTATGTGGCACTGATGGGCACTAGCAGGTGGCATTGATGGGCACTGACAGGTGGCATTGATGGACACTGACAGGTGGCACTGATGGGGCTACACTGATCATCAGTGCCCTGATGATCAGTGTACATGTCCCCTCCGAGGACTGCCGATTACCTGCTCTCCTCTCCTCACGAGCTGTCAGCGTGACAGCTCCTGAGGAGAGGAATGCCGATAACCGGCATTTCCTTATTTACATGTGATCAGCTGTGATTGGACACAGCTGATCACATGACAGAGTCGACGTCATCGGCTCTTTCCATTGATCGGTGATCTTCTGTGTCCCAGGGACACAGCGCACCACTGATCGTCGCGCTGCAAGCCCCTGGGGGCACGCATGTACGGTTAGAGTGAGAGGATGTTATATGACGTCCTCCCAGAATGAGAGAACTGCCTTGCGCATTTCCTTATATGGCGGGCAGGATGCGGTTAATATATCATTAAATGTATTTTTTAATGCAAACAGTGTATGTACCTGAATCTGACCTGGTACCAGCCTTTCACAGTTCCTGAAGTGTGAGAGAAAGAGGTAGTGCAAAGTGCCAATAAGGCCATGTACACGAAGCATGCTGATAGCAGAGAACAAAGTGACAGAGAAACAAGCTTATTATTGTGCTACTTCTCCTTTCACTGAGCAGTTACAGGGCTAGTGCTAGGGCGAGTCCAGGATGACCTCTACTCCAAGGAAATGAGGATGAGTCAAAGGGTTCACCTGTTCAGGCTCCTGTGTTGGCAGAAGCTGAAATTCATATATAACATAGTTGCCAACATTTAAAAAAAAACAAATTTAGGGACACTTTTATTGTATGTTCAGAAAGCCAGTGTAGGCGGAGTAGTATGTTAATTAGGGGTGGGGATATTCATCCATGGGTGTAGCTTAAGTGTAAAAAGAAGATGGTGGCGCGTGAAGCACGCTGTACCAAAAATGGGTGTGGTTTAAATTACTCTGAATATTGGGCGTGGCTTAAATGGGGTGTGGTTAAATATGTCTCAGGCTCCCCCCATGCAATTTTGCTCTCCACCCCAACATCCCAAAAAACAAACACACATAGACTTATCTAAAAAAAACTTTAATATTCTAAACATAAAGAACTGGTCCACACGCACTGATTGGTTGCTAGAGGTTACAGCACATCATTACCGTTCACTGATTGGTTGCTAGAGTTTACTGCAGTTAGTAAAGGACAGGATCAGAGATTGCAGAAGTAGTACAGGACAGGATCAGAGACTGCAGGCGTAGTACAGGAGATGGTGAGAGACTGCAGAAGTAGTACAGGACAGGATCAGAGACTACAGGAGTAGTACAGGAGATAGTCAGAGATTGCAGGCGTAGTACAGGAGATGGTCAGAGACTCCAGGAGTAGTACAGGACAGGATCAAAGACTGTAGGCATAGTACAGGAGATGGTCAGAGACTGCAGGCACGGTACAGGAAAGGGTCAGAGACTGCAGGCACAGTACAGGAGACGGTCAGAGACTGCAAGCATGGTACAGGAGATGGTCAGAGACTTCAGGCACGGTACAGAAGATGGTCAGAGCCTGCAGGCAGAGTACAGGAGACAGTCAGAGACTGCAGACATGGTACAGGAGATGGTCAGATACTGCAAACGTAGTGCAGGCATCCCCATACAGGCCATCCACCACTTTCTCTACCCCCTCAAAACAAAAAAAGAAGGGAAGGAGATCAGCCATCTACCTGTCTCCTCTGCGAGAGAGAGGAACCACATTACCTCATGCAAACAGAGGACGTTGGGGGAGGATCTGACTCCCTGAAAATTAACCTTACCCACCAGAGCCACTTTGCATGCTGTGTCAGTGCCAAACTTCTCTGCTGTCCGGGACAATCTGTGACTGTTGGCAACTATGATACAGAAGTGGTGTTTCTATTTCTATATATGACAACATTACACTGTCACTGGCTTCCAAAGAAGCCACTGGTGTTCGCACCCGCTGCATCCCTAAGAACTGCTGACATCCCCGGGAATCTCTGGCCACATAACCAATGGGGTGATAACATCACCATCCAAATATGTCAGCACTATCCCTGCTCCTTCCCTTTTCTGATGGCACCTTGGGAGCTGTCATTTACCTATGAGTACCTTCAGGACCGGTCATGTGTGCTGGGTTGTGGGGGACATTTTTGGGGGATTTTTATTTTTTAATAAAGGACATTTCAAATCTTTGGGTGGCTTTATTTCTAGTTGACATTTTTTAACCCGATGCTTATTCACATAGGGGAAAGGGGGTTGGCCTGTGGAAACCCTCTTACTTTTAAAGGGGACTTCCATATTCCAGAAAGCCCCCACCTGCAGACCTCCACAGCCACTGGTCAGGGTTGTGGGAAAGAGGTCCTTGTCCTCATCAACATAGGCACATGGCACCTGGCAAAGCACCCGAAGGGGGTGCATATAATCACCCCCTCCCCCTTTTCTTGGCCAGCTAAGCTGCATGCTTGGATTAAGGGGAGGGGGTTTTTAGGTAAAACTTTTTTTTGTGTGGGGTATCTTATTAAACTCCTTAACAGGCTCTGGTATGAATTTTTGGGGGGAATCCATTTTTTTATTTCATTCCTGTTGTAGAATGTGCTAAAGCAAAAGTGACATCTACAAAGAAAAAAAAATACACATTTAAATTGCTGTCAAATAAGCATTATTGCACATACACTCCTTCAAAGGTCTCACATGTACCTCATCCCTTTAAAACCGAACACATTAATTACACAGGTTCTATGGCTGATTAAGGTGGAAATTAAATGCACTAAGTGCCTTATCTGCATTAAAGGATAAGTTCACCTCTTTACAAAAAATAGTAAATGCACATTATTTGCAGGTAAAAAAAATGTGCATTTATTATTTTTTGTTTCTGAAACCTCTAAAGTAGTGGTCTCCAAACTGTGCCCCGGGGGCCAGATGTGGCCCTTTGCTTGCCTTTATCTGGCCCTCGGGGCAGTTTTTCTACCGCTGATATAAGACACTATTCCTTTCCTCCCACCAACAATGGGGCATAATTACTGCTACTGACATCAACAATGAGGCACTATTTCTCCCATTGACACCAACTATGGGGCACTATTCCTCCCACTGACACCAATGATGGGGCACTATTCCTCCCACTAACACCAATGATGTGACACTATTCCTCCTACTGATACCAATGATGTGGCATTATTCCTTCCACTGACACCATTGATGGGGCACTATTTCCTCCCACTTACACCAACAATAGGACACTATTCCTCCCACTGACACCAAGGATGGGGCACTATTCCTGCCACCGACACCAACAATGGGGCACTATTTCCCCTCAAGGACACCAACAATAGGACACTATTCCTCAAACTGACACCAGTGATGGGGCACTATACCTCCTAGTGACATAAATGCACACCATTCCTCCCTCTGACACCAACAATTGGGCACTATTCCTCCCACTTACACCAATGAAGGGGTGCTATTCCTCCCCCTCATACCAAAGATGCCTTGTTTACTCCCACTGATGCCTGGACAATTTCTACTGCCAATGGCCACAGTCCAGCCCCACGAAAGTCTGATGAACAGTAAACTGGCCCTATATTTAGAAAGTTTGGAGACCCCTGCTCTAAAGCATTGCACCAGGGATTGCATCAGCAGACCTGGTCTTCTGCAGACCTGTCAGTATATTTGCCTGCCTGTACGGGATGTATGTGCAAGCAGATATACTTACAGGAAGAATCCGTGAATTACCACAGAGCTCCACAGCCACTCCACTTGTGGTTCATTCATTCACAGAACACCGAGAATTTGTTAAAGATTGTGACAGCTAGTGGGGAGGAGAAGATCCCCAGTAGCTATCACGATGAGGAGCGGGAAGGAGTGGGGGCTGGTCCATTCATAACATGTTACACCCTGAATATGGGTGTAACATGTAACATGTTACGAAAGGTGAACTTCTCCTTTAAATTAGTCTCCGAACCTGTGCAATTAATATGTGTTCCGTTCTAAAGGGATGACATGGCAACCCTACTCCCATACTACTAAACAAAAATACATTTTTGGCTGAAGTTCTGATTTACCCATTTACTGACAATCATCACATTAGGCTAGAGCTAAACAGGAGGTTTATAGTAGCTAAATCGTGCTAACAAGCACTAGTAATTGATTATTAAACAGATGGCTCCTTATGGAGAAAAGTAATGTGGCAGTGATCAGTCTCACATGATCGAACATCACTTCAGTCTTGTGTGATTGATTATAAGCAGATGCTATGGATTGTTACTTGTGTAGCTTTACGCCTTAGAAAGTAATTTTTTTCCATTTGAGTGTGAAATCTCTTAGTAGCAAGAGGTTGAATTCTCCTGTGTAGCTTAGCTCTACCTATTCAAGGACGCCTATTACTTGTCCAGTGTTGAGGAGTGCTATTTTGTTGTCTATTCCAATACTTATTAGCAAATGATAGATGATATTCATATCTGCAACTATCATAGATATGTGTATTTATGTATTCAACAGAGATACTGTCTGTGTATATTTATTCCGCCAAACCATACAAACAGAATCAATAGACAATTTTTACATATAAACCCTTTTTTGTGGAAAAAATAAAAAATTACTCTTTTTGAGATCTACATGGCCACAACAGGCACAGCACATGTGGAAAATTAAAATATATATATATATATATATATATATATATATATATATATATATATATATATATAGATATAGGAGGTATGTTTAGCCACAGCTTCTCAGCCTGCCAGCAGTCACTGTTGGAGGTGGGAACAGTCACAGCAATGCTCCAACTGACTCTCAGAGATCTCAAAGCAAAATGTAGTCATAGAAATAAATCTGGATAAGGTTAACACAAACCAGGAGTCTCTAAACTTTCTAAACAAAGGGCCAGTTTACTGTCCTTCGGGCTTTACAGGGGCAGAACTATGGCCCATGGAAGTA